TACTTTTTACACAGATATAGACAAGTACAACGAACAAGAACTAAGCAACATACATACATACTAATATCACAGAATATCACATTTCATTCAAGATTCCAATGCCTCGCATAATATCACAGATTATCACAGATCATTTAAAATTCCAATGCTTCGCATGAATCCCAACACACCTCTACAGCGATCCTGACTAGCAAAATTTGTTTCCCATATCACACTAATTTTAAATAGGTCACGCTCATTTTGGTATCTTACACAAACACAAAGTATGTGCTCTGGTGTTAAATTGATACCACATCTATTACACAAAGATGGTGCCTCACCCTTCAGCAAATAACTATGCGTGAGAGCAGTGTGTCCCAAACGGAGCCGATACAGCTTTGTCGAGTGCAGACGTTCCACGTCAAGTAAAAAAAGTGGTCCTAGGTTTGGTTTAATTCTTCTCAAAGATGTATCGGCCCGCGCCCATTGCTCCTGCCAGCGCTCATTTACACAGTGCTTGACAGCCACTTTTGTGAAATCTACAATGTTATCCTCTTCTAACTGTAGCTCCTCCATGAATTGTCTTGCTCTTTCACCTTGCGATTTATATAACCGTGTCGGTCTAGTTGCATCGGTAAGTAATCTATAATTTGGGTGTTTATCATTTTGATGTACTTTCAGGTAATAGTTAACTATTAACTGCTTTCGGCGAAGAGCAAGCGGGAGAATATTCGCTTCCACGTTGAGAGCACAGACGGGACTCGTTGGAAATATCCGCCATAGAGGAACGCAAATGATTTTTAATTAAACTATATAATAAATACCAAAGTAATAATAATTATTATTTTATTATTTGTCATTATACAGAGTGCTCTTTTTTCGCGGCTGTCATGGATATGGATTCTATTTTATTTCTATTTGCACGAAAACCGAGTCGAAGTGGGACGTTTAGAAGACCTTTACAGAGGAATTTGATAAATATGGCCAGAATGGCATAGAACTTTTTTTTTGCGTTAGAGTCGCTAAATTTCATCTTATGAACTTTCATCAGAGTTATTTTTCTCTGACGTGCCATAGCTTTTAATTTACTACTTTGATTTTACCAAAATACCTTATTATTCAATTTTCACGACAGTGCTTTAGAAATTGCAGCCAAACTCATTTGCGGATTTGCTTTGGTAGTTTACATTTATAATCAAGATAATTAATAAAAATGTCGTTTTAAATGTAGTAAAGCGTTCTTTTGGCAAGATTTTATTATATATTATTATTAAGTTAAAAGTAGTAATCTATCCAAAACCGATTTTTGTCTAAAAGACACTCTCGTGACAATTGAATAATTAAGTGTTAAATGTAATATAGAAATCCATAGTAAATTCTTTATTAAAAAAATGTAAAAATTCAATGTGACTCCTACGTTCAAAACAAATTCAAAAAATAATGCGAAATAATGTCATAGTCTAAACCGCCCATTTCTGAAGTATAATAAATAAATAAATAAATAGGTATACTCGTTTTTTTAAATACAGAATTATTAAAACGCAGAATTCAGTTCTTTTTAATTATTGAAACTATATCCCACAAGTGGTTTCAATGATTGATTCGCATTTTAAATTTAACTTTACCCCAATTTGACCATTAGTTTTCAACATAAGAGATCCCATCGTCAGGCGCTAAAAATGACCACCCTGTATACTACCATCTATCCCTATCGCAACGTTTAAACTCATGCAAACATAACGGCTAGAAAAATTTGCGGAACATTTTTAAGCGGCTTTAACCATGAAAGGTAATGGATCTACATCCTCGTAATATCAATGAGAGTAATAACCAATATTTCTTCATTTTGCGTGGAAGGGGCGGCTACAAAACGGTTTTCCGGCTTACCGGCGTATTTTACGCAATTTTTTCCAATATTAATTTAATTAATTTAATTTGAATAGCGATTTGCCGAGTGCCGACCGACTAACTGAAGTTTTGCCGACTATGGTCACGCGTTAGGAGGGGCGTGACCCCCCCGTCAATCCGGCCCTGAATCCGCATTTCTGCTGCGTGTATAAAACCGATTTATTGCTTTAAACTTTCTTCTTCTTTTTTAACGATCACTACCGCAACTCGCGCTGTTGTATTTTACGTTCCAATCACAAACACCGTGACCGTGACGATTGTCCAAAGATCGAATTTAGGTCCAACTGTATTAAGGGTCCTATACCAGTAGCAACGGCTTTTCAAACGCGAATATGTTTCAAATTTTACAAAGAAACTAACAATACTATTAAATCTATCGCGATTAAGACGCTCTCATTTTCCCACTAGACATTGATTACCCTGGCAGAATGCCCCAAAATCTCCCCCAAAACTAATTCACATGATTACGGGTAAGATACCTTCCACGGGGTGTGCCAATTTAGATCTCTCGATAATAAAATTCCTAGCCGACTTCGGCCGCAGATATGTTAAACTTGGTCGATGCGCACTTTATACAGTGTGGAAAAGTCAAATGGAATAATTTCATTATTTCGGTTACTGTACTTGTTTATAGAAAATCCTGAAACAAATCCAATTTAAACTATACATTGACATTATTCAAAGTAAGGATGATCTACTTTCAACCCTTCGAGTGAAAATTACAGCCCCCAATTTTTTAAATAGGTTTGTGATACATCGTTTAAAAAGTATCTTCATGCTCTATCCAAGAATGTTATTATTTTCAAATTTAATGCAAAAATTCTGATAAAAGAATAAAATCATTTGATCACCGTTTTAGTCTTATTAAGTGTTCTTTTTTAATGACAACAATTATAATTTTGTCCTTGTTTTATGTTAATTTGAAAAGAATGACATTTTTGGATAGAGAATGATTTCGAACGGCCCCATTTTGTGACTAAAAAAAACGCTTTTGAAATTTTTCAAAAATCTGACAGATATCACCGAAAAAATAAAATGTCAAATTTTGTTTTCATTTTTCCTAGCTTAAACGCTCGGAAATCGACGGTTCCCATTAGCACCTTTCAGCGAATCTGAATTTGTTTTCAGAATTTCTATAAAACCACCCTCTCCTGTGTGAACATTTTTGAGGCTTCGCTTTTTAATTCTGTAGTGCGGCCTTCTGCGTCTATCTGTTGAAGAGAAGCTTTCTTGTGACCCTGAAAAGTGAGCGCGCATGAGGACCTCCCTGGCGCTTCTGCTTGAACCATGAATATGGATGTTTTGATTATGAAGGCGCTTAAATTTGAATCTTTGAATTTTGAATAATCAAAGTTAATTGATATTTTTCTCTCCTCGGGCACTTTCTTTCGTCTAAAAAAATGTATTAACCGAGCGTGGTTTTTGCCAACTAGCGATTTGTTTAAATTTAGCCCAGAAGAATACGAATTCCGATTTTTATTTCATGTTAGTCTGGGAAGGAGCGTCCATGAAGTAAGTAAAATACATATTTAGTCATTCAATATTTGCATACACGATGTTACGTAAAATCCTAGAAAATGCCGACCAATATTTACGATTGCCAAACAATACTTCATCAATATTTAAAATGTGGTGACATTTCGCCAATATATCCATTGCAACATTTTTTTTAATAAAGCGCGTACGCGTTGGTCGTTTATTTATGTTTCAAAAATCGCTTTACGTTACATAAAAGTGTACGATTATTAATTAAATAATTATGCAAATTTCAGTCATATATTTGAACGTAGCTTCTGGCAGTACGTAGGAAATTCAAAAGGTAATCTGAAATGAAAAATCGTGTAATGGCAAATTTACATCGGTGTTACCAAATGTGGGAAATCACACTGAACGAGTGCGACACCCACGCCTCATTTGTTTCCACATTAAAATACCGCACAATTACGACAGTTAAACTCATTTTTCTTGTGTGTAACACTTCCTAGTTTTTGGTATTTGCATTGTAATTGATATGATTAATTTATTTTACTGTCATTAAATCTGACAAAAATGATATTTTCGGTGGTATTGGCAGGAGTGACTTTCTCTATTTGACCTATGGTGTACCACCCCTGTACTCGCTGGAAAATTCGGTCATTAAATTATGTCCAAGAAAAAATTTTAATGAGAATGTAGGACACCAGTCTATTCCATGAGTTAATTAACTTCAGTCAATTTTTCAGGGGTGCAACATATAGCCCATAAATCTAACACCCAAAATTGTCAGGATCATCAAGGTCTCTAACAGTACCTGGTCTCCATGAAAACCGAAATGGGCGCAAAATGGGCACTTGCCGGTGAAATTCTTTGAGCTTTTTGTTGCTAAACGATTACTTTTGAGACCACCTCTGTCATATATGTTTACCATCCCGACAGTACAGTCGCAAGTGCATTAAATATGGAAAATTTTCATAAAAAATCTGCTAAAGGACGCTGCCAGCCCATAATGCGCACCATACAGTCACTTCTTGTGGGTGCAGCGGCCTCTCTTCAATTGTTTGAGGGTTTTCATAGCCCCAGATTCGGCTATTTTGCTTATTCACGTAGCCACCAAGCAAAAAATGTACCTCATCGCTGAAGAAAATTTTGTTCGAAAAATAAGCATTTACGGCTCAAGGACTATTTACGGTCTTTTAAACGTTCTTGAATACGCTTAAAGTATCTTATAAGACTCATGAAGGCATAAATATTCCAAACTGCTCACCTCTTTAATGACTTTAAAATCTAAAACGAGACTCCCGAAAATTATTGACAGATCTTACAGACCCCTAAAAGCTCTGAAAGGTTCACGCATACTATTACTAGGCTTTTAAACATTCTCTAAGGCTTCTAAACACCGAAAGTCTCGTGAAAACTTTAAGCATTTAGAAGGCTCTATAGCTAGACTGAACACGACTCTTAAGAAAACTCTAATGAATAATCCAAGCTGTATACAGGTCTTCACGGCTTTCAACTACTATTTAAGATTAGGGCTCTTAAGGACTATGTTTCTATGAAAGTTTGTAAGAATTCCGTTGTTGCGTTGAATGTACCCTTAGTTTGAGTAAATAACTGATAATGCGCTTTTAGTGCTCCAAGTTGGTACGAATGGAGATTGGAGATATCATTTTTGCCCTTGTCGTTGAATGAAAGGTACATACTTTTCGAAAGATGTGGAAATCGGAAGTGGAAAATCCAAAGGCAGACAGTTGAAATTGCCAAAATTATATATCTAAACGTATTTACGTGAGTGGAGATTGGTGATATCTTTCCGAGGTAAATTTATTTTCATAGGATTCCTTATTTGGTTAACCATGTTTTTTTTAAGCTTATGCCATATGTATTAATTTTACTTATATCGTAATCCGAAACCTATTGACAATAATTAGGGTATGTGATCTTGAATTATTTGATTTTAGTCTGATATTGGTATTATAATTTTCAGCGCAGTTTCCAAAAGAAAAATGGGCGCAAATGGCGCTGCGTTTCCTCAAACCCGCCGCATAAACGGCCAACTAGCTCATGGTTCGAAACCAAAATAAGAGCTTGAGATCATCCACAGTAGTAGTTCGTTCTGGGCATTTGATCTTCTTAACTCCAAACCAATGGGGTTGAGCGCCACTCAATTTTTAACTTAACTCTCCCCGTATGACATTAAAATTGTGCGAGGGTAGTAATAACAGCAGAAATCAATTTAGGTACCAAAAGAAATACTGATTTATTGTCAATATTAAATTGCAAAATAAAAATTGTCCCCACAATGGGATAGCGTTCTCATACAAAATACTCCCTCAAATACTCAAGTTACAAACTTACGTTACTCGTAAATCTAACGGCACTATACAATTAAAATTCACGAGTGTAACAAACCCCCAATCAAGAATGATCGATTATCTACGAATTATTTTTTTCCAAATGTAGCATCGGAATATCCATCAGCATCAAAAACTACACACCTTTGCCAATTTAACCAAAACTTTAAGTTAATAACAGATAGCTAATACACAATTTAAAACACCCTGTATACAGGACATTTTTCTTAAATGTATACTTATGGAGTATGTACTCGTATACTTAAAAAACACGGATCAAACGCATGAAATAGATGGCTATAATAGGCAACCAACTTTACACGAATTTGTTGTAAATGATAATCAACGTCTGCTATGGAAATAGTAACTTGATTATTCAAATTAGGGTTAGCTATTAGTTTTTATTTTTATTATTGGCATGAAATTGGGAATTTTTAACATAAGGATGTATAGCAAAGACGATAGGGTTGAAATAGTAACACAGTAGGAGGGTGGTAAGAGTTTAAGAACTGTAAAAACGACTCCAGTTTGTCGCGTGTAAAGTTGCCTACAGTCATTTGTTTCCTGCCGTAATACTACTATCATGACTCCATGCGTTTGATCCGTCTGTTTAAGTATACGTAGCCCATTAGGTATACGTTTAAGACAAATTCCCTGTATAGGGATTATGGAAATTCAAATTCCATGCGTTCTAACTCACGCTTTCAACTGTTTGTGTAAATAGAAGTGTAACTCGATACGGTTTACCAAAGAGAGAAAGATGCAAACTGTCTTAAATTGCATGTTCCCATATTGGTGGAGTGCTTTTAATTTCGGACGTGTCCGCAAATTCGAAAGACACATTTTTGATCTGCTCCATTAATGATTTTAACTAAGATATTTGAAAATGCCTGCTTTCCTTAACACCTTGATTTAGTTTTAATTATTGTAAAAAATAGGTAGTAATGAAAAAGCAGGGAGTTGTTTTTAGTTGCTATGTATAGTTAGTTGTAGTAACACAAAATTGCTGATTGAATCCGTTTCATTTTAGTCATTACATTTTTCCATATTTTTGCTCATTCGTGTTCATTAAAGTGTTTTCTACTTTCCTTGACTATCGCTTCTTAAAAGAACTCCAAAAGGTTATGGGCCCAGCGAAGTCATGTTAGGAAAGTAAGAGTACTTGTAAATCAGTTTTACGTACCTGGAATACCTGTGTCAAAAATGATGGATAGTAAAGTAGACATCGGCGTCATTAATAAGTTTAATGGACGAAATTACCAGCAGTGGAAATTTCAAATAAAGTGTGCTCTAAGAGCAAGAGGAGTTTTCGAGGTAGCGAATGGCGATTGCGAAAAACCAAGTGGTGCTGAAGGTGAAGGAACAGCGAAAGAAGTTGAAGCATGGAACAGGAAAGATGCCATTGCAATGTGTATCCTGACGTCTGCCATGGAACTTTCGCAAATTACATTAATCGAAAATTGTGGAAGCGCTAAAGATGTAATTAGCAAAATGGACACAATTTACCAGCAAAACACGGAATCGAATAAGATGATGCACCAGGAAAAGTTTCACCAGTACAAAATGGATCCAGCTGATTCAATTGCGTTGCATATTGCCAAGGTGGAAAATCTTGCTAAGCAAGTTCGAAACTCGGGAGACACCGTCAGTGATATAGCCATTATGACAAAGATTTTGGGAAGCTTACCTCTAAAATACAGAAATGTGCGGCAAGCCTGGTTATCTGTTGATGAGAAGAATCAAAATATACAAAATCTTACCATGAGATTATTGGATGAAGAGGCTAGTCTCACAACGATGGAATTAGAAAACGAACAAGCGCTGGCTACGACGCGAGCTACCAAACCAATGCAGAACAAGAAGAAGAGGCCTCCTGTTACGTGTTACAACTGCCAGAAGAGGGGCCATTATGCAAGAGAATGTCGAAATAAGAAGCAAGAACGGGCAAACACTGCAGAAAAAGAAAAGGGACAGGAAGGAAATGTAACAGCTTTTACAACAGAGGAGAAAGCATTTGGATTAACGAGTGATGCATTAGCGATATCAAAGGACGATGTTTGGATAATGGACAGCGGAGCCTCGTCGCATATGACATACCACAAAGATTATTTTTCATCCTTGGAAGACAGTGACATAAAATCAGTGACACTTGGTGACAATAAAAGTCTCAAAGTGTCAGGTAAAGGAACAATCAAAATCCGTAAGCTGATGCACAATAAGTGGTATGACGCTATTTTGACAAATGTGTTGTATGTACCAGATTTACATAAAAATCTCTTTTCCGAAGGTGTCATTACCAGTAAAGGCATGAAAATTATTAAGGAAGATAAGTTTGCATTGGTGTATCAGAATGAGAAGGTGGCATGCGCATACCGAATGGCAAATAATCTGTATCATTTGCAATTTCAAACGATCAGATATGAAAGTGAAGTTAATGTGACCACAGATGCAAATATGTTAGCTTTGTGGCATAAAAGACTAGGACATATTAATTTCAATACTGTAAAAGAAATGGCATCAAAAGGTTTGATAAGTGGTGTAAATGTGAACGCTGCAGAGAAAATCTTTTGCGAAGCATGTGTATATGGCAAGCAGCACAGATTAAAGTTCTCAAAAGTTCAACGAATCACTAAACCCGGAGAAATGATTCACAGTGACGTGTGTGGCCCAATGTCAGAACAGTCCATAGGAGGTGCGAACTATTTCGTGTTATTCAAAGACGATGCTACCAGTTATCGTGTTGTATATTTCATAAAGCACAAGTCGGACGTTCTCGAAAGTTTTAAAGCGTACGTTAATATGTGCAATAACAAATTCGGTCATCGAGTAAAAGTTTTGCATGTTGACAATGGAACTGAATATGTGAATCATTGTTTTAAAGACTTCTTAATGAAGATGGGTATTGAGATGGAAAGAACAGCACCCTATAATCCAGAACAAAATGGAAAAGCGGAAAGGGATATGAGAACTATCGTTGAAAGTGCCCGCTCAATGTTATATGCAAAAGATTTACCTACGGAATTGTGGGGTGAAGCGGTGAATACAGCAGTGTACATTCTAAATCGCACTCAGAATCATCAAACAGTAGGGACATCCCCATACGAATTGTGGACAGGTAAGAAGCCTGTATTATCTCATATTAAAGTTTTTGGATGCGTAGGTTATGCACATCTACCAAAGCAGAAACGAACAAAGTTAGATGCCAAGAGCAAGAAGTTCATTTTTGTTGGATATGATGGCAACTCGACCAATTATCGTTTGTTTGACCCAGAATCAAGAAGGATCACAATTGCAAGGGATGTGATATTTAATGAAGAATTGATAGAACCTTCTTCAAGAAGTAATAATGTAAAGATTACATTGACAGATGATGACAGAAACGATTACGAGGAAATTCCTACATTGACAGATGATGAAACAAATGATTACGAGGAAATTCCCGACATTAACAGTGAAAATGCGGAAAACGGAGAGGAAATGGAACCACAAACACAGCAACAGGCAAGATATGAGTTACGGCCACGTGAAAGTATTTCACCACCACCGAGATACATCGATTATGCAGCAAATTATGTAGAAGTGGATGTACCGTCAACGTATGAAGAGGCCATGTCAAGCAAAAATTCTAAAGAATGGCAAGCATCCATTAATGAAGAACTTGCAGCTCTTGAAGAAAACAAGATATGGGAATTGACCGTAAAGCCACCTGATAAACACATAATCGACAGTAAATGGGTTTTTAAAGTGAAACGTACACCGGAGGGAAATATTTCTCGTTTCAAATCTAGGCTATGTGCGAGAGGGTTTTCTCAAATTGAAGGTGTAGATTTTAAAGAAACTTTTTCCCCAACTACAAGATACGAGTCAATTAGAATTTTACTTTCTTTAGCAGCGAAGTACGATTACGAAATCATTCAGTTTGATGTTAAGACAGCATTCTTATATGGCGAACTCGATGAAGAAATTTATATGTCGCCACCTAATGGTGCAAACACCAATCCAAACTTAGTCTGTAAATTGAAGAAATCGCTGTATGGTCTGAAACAATCCCCAAGATGTTGGAACCGTAAATTTAACAGCACTCTTAAAAACTTCAATTTTCAACAATGCACAGCTGATCAATGTGTATATAAAGGGCAAGTAGATGGTAAAAGAGTACTGTTAATTCTTTTTGTGGATGATGGTCTAATAATCGGTGAAGATAAATTAATTCTAAATTCGATTATAGAAAAACTAAAACAAGAATTCAAGATCGTGCTTGGAGATTTAAACTATTATGTAGGTTTAGAAATCGAACGTGATCGAAAGAACAAATCTCTCTTTATTCATCAAAGGCATTACATTAAGGAGATAATTAGACGATTTAATTTGGAAGATGCAAAATCGGTGAGTGTTCCTACAAATTCTAATAATATTTTGAAGGCAGTTACACCGGAAAGTAAACAAAATGGAAAAATCCCATATAGAGAAGCAGTGGGAGCACTAATGTTTGCAGCTATCGTCAGTAGGCCTGATATAATGTATTCAGTGGGTATGGTGAGTCGATATTTAAATAACTACGATACAGCACACTGGAATGCAGTAAAACAAATAATTAGATATCTGAAAGGTACTCAAGATTATGGAATACTGTATAAAGGAGGCGATTCAAAATTAATCGGTTACTCGGATGCAGATTTTGCTGGTGATCCCGATACCAGGAGGTCTACTGCATCAGGATATATTTTCATTCTAAATAGCGGTGCTATTACCTGGAGTAGCCAACGTCAACCGACAGTGTCGCTTTCTACTACAGAATCTGAGTATGTTGCAGCCGCTAATGCTACAAAAGAAGTGTTATGGTTACGCAGTTTTTTAAATGAGATTGGCGAAGATGTAACAAGTGCAACACCTTTATTAGTTGACAACCAAAGTGCAATACGTTTAATTAAAAATCCAGAGTTTCATAAACGAACCAAACATATTGACACAAAATACCATTTTATCCGTGAACAGTGTACTGGGTATAAAATTTGTGTTGAATATGTGGAAAGTGCTAAACAGTTAGCGGATATTATGACTAAACCTTTAAACAAAAAGAGGCATGAATTGTTACGAGAACAATTTGGTGTTAAATTTAAAAATGTTTAGTGATGTGTCGATGTGTGTAATGTAATTATGGAAACTTTATTATTCAGTTTAATATTGTGATTTTGATATTGATAAGGAAAGGCAGATTTTAGTGGGAGTGTTGAGATACCTATTTGAAAATGCCTGCTTTCCTTAACACCTTGATTTAGTTTTAATTATTGTAAAAAATAGGTAGTAATGAAAAAGCAGGGAGTTGTTTTTAGTTGCTATGTATAGTTAGTTGTAGTAACACAAAATTGCTGATTGAATCTGTTTCATTTTAGTCATTACATTTTTCCATATTTTTGCTCATTCGTGTTCATTAAAGTGTTTTCTACTTTTCTTGACTATCGCTTCTTAAAAGAACTCCAAAAGCACAAGGCTGTAGTCATTGCGATTAGGAAATCTATCGTAGATTCGGAACCTTTCATCGCAAATTATAATTCAAGTTCTCACAAAGTCGATTTTTGTAATATTTGGAGTAAAATTCCAACCAATGATGATGGAATGAATTTCTGCTCTGATGATACTCTCAGGAACCCAAAAACTTAATCAATTCGGAATTAATACTTAAGGAATTAAGATTATCATTAATTTTGCACGAGTCGTGGGGTAATGTATACGTAGTTGTCACAGAACGATTATAAATAATAAAGCTGGTTTAATTCCGCAAGAATTTATTAAATTTAGTATTTAAAATGAAAGTAAGTTAACTAATTAGCCAATAGAGAACTGTCACAGCACGGCGTTGTACACAAGAACAGTTAATTAAATGCTGCAGGACTTGCTCGTACAACTTTTATGACACGTAATTAAATACAAACAATTTAAAAAAAATTATGTCAAGCATTGAAAGTAAATTATAGTGTCGTATCCTGCAGGAGAAGTAAGTGCACTTCTTTTAATTAATCCCACTTCACATACCGACGCGAAATCGATTTTCTCGGACTTTAGCAGAAATCCTCCTTGCGCGACCAATATGGTTGCTCGGTGGTAAAAAAAACTATTTTGTAATGTTAATTACCTACGTCCTTGTGTTGAACTTATTTTTACTTTCAGTGCCTAACGAAACTTCGCGAGTCGCTGGATCATTGGGCAATGAGGCAACTGGTCATCTTCTACCATCTCCAGTACGAAAAGAGAGACTACCGAAATCCAAACTAGCGGAAGAAGCGGCTCGAGTGTTAAAAGAAGTGGAAAAAGTGAATTGCGTTGTGAAAAATCAAGGTAGGTGCATCTCGGAAAAACTAATCTAGCACTTTACTATATCCACAATTAAATCGGCAGCACTTTGAAGACTGCAAGTAATGCTTTATTTATGCAAATACAACCCGTCAATTAATTCTCCACTTATGCTTTCAAGTGTAGATGCCCTGATGAACGAATTTCATTTCTATTATGTTGGCCGTAAAAATGAATATGAATTGAAAATTTTTCTCAGATTTCAATGTCAACTATAATAGGAAATGTGTCATGCAGTTAACGTCAGGACGTGATTTAGTGCGTAATTGACAGCAAAATATTCTCTCTCTCGCATTCATTATTGATAATCATGTTGAAACTTGTTTATTTTTTTCAACAGGAGTACATCCTGACAAATTCTATACATTGCCAGCTAGGCGAAAACACAAAGTTCTACCGGACTCTAACCAGTCTTCATTAGACCGCACAGTTAGAAGGAGAAGAAGCGAAGAACTAGGGGTTACAATCGAAAGTCCTCCGAAAAAGCCGCCGCGCACGTTCACCCAGTATCCCAAAACTGAAAAGTCGCGAAACTCGATTTTTAACGTTTTTAAAAAATCCGATCCATCGAGTAAGTCGAGCTTGAGACGTAGCGTAAGTGATGCAACTAACTTGAAGTCGAAGCGCGTGCTCCTGACGAACAATGCCGATACGTCCAGAAGGCGAAGAGATAGCGACGGTGAAGATTCGTCAAACCTAAAAACCAAGCTTTCGCCCATTATCGAAAGTGCACCGAGTAATGATTATTTTTCGCGCGATAACAAAGAGAATATCGACACCGAGCATGCAGAAGACTCACAACGGAAGAAAGGATCTAGCAGTGTTACCGAGCTACTGAAGGAGTACATTGATGAAGTCGATACCGCATTGTTTAACGAAACCGGTACGCGAGTAAATCACAGCGCCAAATTCCCCGAAGTAGTCATAATCGATGTAGATAAGGCGGAGAAGATCACCCGTAAGAAGGATTCAAAATTAAGTATCGGCAAGAAGATTAAGTCTTTAGGAACGAAGAAAGTGAAAACGAAAAAGCCCGCAGAAGCAAGCATAGTTAAAGACGCAATCGATAGCTTGCAGAATCAATCGCCTACTATGATCCACAGTAGTCAAAAACCTGTCGATAAGCTACCGTTGACTCGAGGTTTTACTGTAGATACCATGGTTAGAAGGTTAAATAGCGATAAAACCTCCCCTTCCCCTCCTAAAACGAATATTATGGTAACACCCAACGTCAGCATGCAGCACAATAATAATCAACCATTTTCCTACACGAGGGGGCAGAGCCCCGAGCGTAACTATAGAAGTCCAGAAGGATCGAGGAGCCCAGATCCAGGCAGCCCAATTATATACGCTCACGTAGTCTGCGACAAGAGCCTGAATAACTCGAACACAATCAAACAGACCGTTCACGCCGCGTATACGAACGGTAAGAAGCATTTGCCCCATTCCGATTCTGACGAAGGGTTGGGCAACGACGAGGGTTCGGGTATCAGTCGAGGAAAGTACGACTACGAAAAACCAGTCACGCACTTCGGCGACGATTACTACAGACCTTCTGATCCCTATCAGAATGACGAAGAGAACCCCATCACCCCCAAAATGAAGAATGGGTACAATCACTACAATAATTATAAAACTGAGCACAGAATATTCATCGACAGCTCGTCGCGAGGTCGCGGCGATGGTATGGACTCGAAACGTCGAGAGAGCTTAACGGAACCACACGAAAACGGGTTTAACTCGCTGAAGTATAATAATAACACGAGCCGCACGGATTTGAGCGCACGAAGGGACCTTCTGGAATCTAGGATAAATAGACGATTGGAAGAGAAGCACTTGAGGCATTCCCCCCCAAGTAACGAGCCCAACGTTCATGTAAATAATCAGTACGTCAGCGAAACCAAGTACTACAGACACGGATCGAGCAGCCCCGTCGGATATACCGAAACGTACGTAACGAAAAGTAAAACCGACCGAAACGGCAATACTCAGACGACAAAGACGCATTCCCGAAAAGACCACCGCTATTCGGCCGAACCGAAAAGCATAGACTCGCAGATAATCGACTACAGATCCTCGCCCGAAAACGTATCGCGACGAAACGAGCTAAACCACGACTACCGATACAGCCGCTCTTCCAAGTACGTGACGAGAGACGAAAAGCAGAAGCTCAGCAAGGATCGCGAGCACTACAGGTCGAATCCAGAAATAATCCAAAGAAACTACAACAATAACTACGACGGATACCAAGAGACCTACCACGATTCGCTCAAGCGCGAAACCTCGACCCCTAAGCAGCGATCCGAAAGGAAGTACTTCGACCGAAGCGATTCGGACCGCAAGGACCGGCTGGGCGATTCCGGTATAGAGAACGACTTCAAACGTAGCTCGGGGCACTATCGACGTCGACGTGGCGACTACAATGATAGCGAAGACGAGGGGTTCGCCAGCTCTTTGCTTATCGCGAGCGAACGTCAGCACACTGAAGATAACATTAACACTCGAAGCCGAGATGATTCCTTTCGCAATTTGGAACATATGGACTACAAAGTGTACAGGGGGAGGAACGAGTACGCGCCCAGGGAGAGGAGCATCGACGACGGATCCCACTACGATCCCAGAATCGACAAGGATTTCGACGCCGATCGCAGCACGCTGAAAAAGAAGGTCGAGAAGAAACCGCCGAAACCCGAGAAGAAAAGCGGCCTGGAAAAGGTAAGGCTCCATTGCGCGCGGGCGTTTCTCAATGTCGTTCCCCTAGGTTAAGCAGCTCTTCTCCCGCGATTCGAAGAAGAAAAAGGAAAAGGAGCGAGCGATGGTTCCCGAAGAAAGTCTAAGGGCCAGATACACCGAGTACAGGGGGAGCAGGGAGAATTTGGAGCCGAAATCTGTTAGGAAACACGCGAGCGAGAGCAAAACGGTAAGTGATTAATCAAGTATGACAACGCATAAACAAGTATGTGATGTTAGTGACATAATAACTTTTCGCTTGTAACTAAAACGAAGAGAGATTTCAATGAAGAACTAAGACAAGGACGAAAGTTACGTAAACAACCTGCCATATGGTAGCTTTATTTGCAAACGTTACGTTGCCGTTTTTTTTGGCGTATTGCGGTCGTATGTGTTAACCGGGTTCCTTTGGAAATTGGGGGGTACCTAATGAGATTGCTCCAATTATTCGGCTGTAAGTGCAAATAAAAATCATTCAAGGTTCGAGTGACCTTTCTTGCGCTACTTGCAAAACACCTGAGAGCAGTTTTTTTTACTTATCTACGTAATTTTTGTGGAGTATACGCGTTTAAAAGGTTGGTTGTTCACTGCATGCAATTAAACTTTTAAAATTGTTTCTTACCGGTGCCATTTGCAGGTACCGGTAAAATAATTGCAACGCTGCATTTTAGGAATGCCTTCATTTCCATGAAAATATGATCAGGTAGGAACACGTTAAGTATCTTACAAGCACTTGTCGCTTTCATTTTAGTTAACTATTTGAATTTAGGTTTCTTGTGGTACATATACAATTTTTTTGCAATACCGGCCTATAAATTCACCTTAAAAAGTACATACAAAGAGGGGCCATTTTAAGATCTGCTAAAAAACATGTAGTTAATACCAAATTGTGACAAAAACGTATAGAGCGTTATAGTTTTATATTATTAAAAATTTGATGTGGGTGGCACTAAGACCACCCGCGCACCTGCGTATGCGTGATTGTGCCCTTCTATGTCTAAGGATATGTGTTCCAAATTTGGTTCCAATCGGTTCAGCACTTTAGCCGGAAATGAGAGTACAGACGGACCGATCGACATCATCGAGGTTTTGTTTGATTTGTATTCCTGGAGCTTCCGGCAAAAAAGTGGGGGATCATTTTTTACTCTAATTCAATACCACCCCCCTTACTAAAGTGCTGGTGGTACAAAATTGATGACATTGAAAAAACGGGTTTCAGTAAATTCATGCCATTATAGTTTTAGTTATTATTCTCAACATTTTCAAATCGTCAGTCAATATTAATTTTTGGGAAATCTTTATTAAATATGGAAAATAGAAAGGGACCTATATTTAACCCTTGCGACACACCAAAGGTTGAAATAATGTATTTTGAAGTGTGTCCTGCATAAACTACGAATTGTCGTCAATCAGTTAAGTCAAATTCGGATTACTGCTACAGTATGAGAAAATCCATATTCTAATAATTTATTGAGAATAAATACAATGATCTATTTGACCATGGAAATCTGTATATATATTACCTACATCGACTTGTCCTTGTTCGTCCATCATCTCCAACAATATCGGGTAAAACAGGCAAGATTAGTGACAGTCGATTTATACGGAACAAAGCCAGTGAATAATTAAAAATTTTGGCCAAATTTGGGCGTCATGCCTAAGTAATTAGGGAAAAATACTTGCTGCACTAATGGGGGACCTATATCTGTCAAACAAGACATCAACTAGCTTTGTACGACTTTCCAGTGCCGAAATCTCGTCTCTTACACGGACGGGCGGACGGACTAATGTGCATTTTGGAATTTAACAATTTATTACATTTCAACCCTGATTTTGTCAATTTTTACATAATGCAAATTTTGCAAATTCCATTTACCTTTCGGATTTGTAACCTACAAATCTAAAGAGACTATGTTATCATACGAGATCTTTAGACTATGTAAGTATTTTCAAATATAGATTCTGGAGTAGGTATCCGAGCCCTTAGAAACCTCGTATTGTAAAATTTCATTGGACTTTATGTTGCACATGATAAATTCTGTTGACAGAATGACCCCTGTCCCTCTTTACCAATTAAAAAGCAGAAACCATGGAAGTTTCATAACTTTAAAATTTCATCGCATAGTCAGGAAACAAAATGTTGTAGGTAGGTAAGTAAGACCGATTCTAGCGACCTTTGACCTTGAACTCTGCGCATGCGCTAGGTTCAGTAGTGGGGCATTCGCCTCGAAACAGACCTGTCCTGTTAAACAGACCTGAAGATAGGTTTGTTTAACGGGAACAGGTCTGAAGGAAATCTTTAAAAGGTTTGTTTAACAGGAAGGAGTGTGTCTACTTACCTACTGCTGTAGAAGGGATGTTAATTTGACCTTAAAGCAGCATTCATCTCCACATCCAAAAGCTCAAAAAATATTTGGTTCATAATTTTGAGTCGTTGATCACGAGGGTCTTTGCGTATAAAACTACGAGGAAATTGCTGTGAAATGTGTAAGAAATATGAGGAAAATATACAGAAATTGTCGGGTACTTAATTAAAAGAAAAGTTGAGGTGGATGAAGTATAAAAAATGTTGAAGAAATAAGAAGAACTTCAGACGAGCTTTCTAGAACCTACTTGTGTTGAGACCTCATCCCTCACAGTGACGGACGGACGGACGGAAAACGCTCGTAATAGCGCAATTTCTTTTTTGAAAAATGCGCTAAAACTCATAGATTGTGTCCGAGTCCGGTACTTAAGTTTATTTTTGTTCATTAACCTTTCTTTTTTAGGCTTGCTTATTCTATTAGTCGCGTTAATGAATATATAAAAGCGGGAATCTTCGGAAGTCTTCAAGAGCAGTTCCAATTTTGATGATTTTTTAATTTTGTTTTTTTATTATTATTATTTAAAATCAGAGGAGGGAAATAAGTATTTATATTGTTTAAATCAGGGATGCTCAAAGTGACTGATACGACTTTCTGGAGCCCAAGACTTTCGGAAGCCATTAAGAAAAAAATGCGCCATAGTAGATGTGCTTCATCGTTTAGACGATCTTTGCGCCCTTTCTGGGTACCCTCCTCTGACGCTCTGTTCTGCAGATATTTCCATTAAAAGTTTTAACACACCATCAGTAGATGTGTCTTGGCCAGACTTTCTACTTGCCCCTTATGAGAAACCTTTTCAAGATATTCACTCATGCGCTGATTACAGATAGGATTTTTAGATCCTCGTCCCCACATGCTGCGGGAGATACATCGCTCTCATTCGTGACAATTTCCGGGGCAGTACTGCCACTTGTAGTAAACAAATCTCAACCACGGGTCGGCCAACCACGCTTTAGGGTCGGGTTTATATAAGTTCGGTTGAATCCGTGATTGGCCAACCTCGAGTGGAACTTGAACCTGTGGTTGAGTCCTCTTGCGTTTTATAAACACTTTTCGAAACGTGGTTGACCGACCAAGGGTTAAGATTTGTTTCCCTACAAATGGCAGTACTGTCTCGGAAATTGTAACCAATGAGCGCAAGGATTGTGTCTCCCGCCTCGTGTCGCGTCAACCCTCGGTTGAGATCCTAAGTAACACAGTTGCCATTGATCCGTATGTGCATGTTCATATTTGACTGATACGATATGCTTGTCTTCAATAGAAGCTTTATTAGTCAAGTAGAAATCGTCATGTCTGCCAAGGAGATCCCGTAGCGTAAGGCTAGGGCGGTCAAATTTTAATAACACTTCCGACCTTCTGACTATATTTATCTCTGGCGCCTTCATTTGGAACCCGACGCAAAAAGTGTATAAGGCTTTAGTACAGTTCATCGAGACCCATCTTTTTTGTATTTCACATTTTTCGGGAAAACTGCAAATTTAAAATTTCTCAAAAACTAAGAAATTGAAAAAAATGAATTAACTTTTTTGTAGTTTCGACAAATCGACTTTATGCACGTAGAAAAAAACCTCTTCCTCGAAACAGCACAAACGAAATACAGACCGGCCTTTAACTGATAAAAAAACTGGAACTTGATTAACGTTCTTCTTCAAACCAAAAACGTAGTCGCCCACGAAACGGGCGGAAATAAACTCTTTATTTTGTTTGTAACTAGCGGCACTGGAAAAAAGCAAACGACTTCTAAATAACTGGACCTAAAACTCTATACAATCAAAACATACTGCTACAGACGGAAGGACTCAAAGCGTTTTCTTTTTCGTTTCTGTCCTATGTAAACGGAAATCCCACTTAATTCTAGAAAAACTTAGACAGCCAATAAAACTGGCTAGCAATTTACACACTTCAGTTACGAGGTAAACCAATTACTAATTCTAACAATTTCTACCAAAGAATAAAATTTTTTAATAATTAAACTAACCACGTTATTTCCGAAATAATTATCTTTATCTCTCACAAATAAAAGGAAAACCTAATAAATCAATTCGAACTGTCACATTAGAGCTAACAACGAACTTGATAACAATGGCCTTGACTGTACGCTCGTGCTGAGGAATTGTTTTGTGTTAAAACGTGACCAGACCCACCATTAAACAAAGAAAACGAGAAAGGTACAGGGTAGTGCAAAAAATATGTTAAAGACGTAAATTTTCAAATGAAAAATTTGTCATGACTTAGCCGTGATGGTGCTAGCTTTAATTCAAGTGGCGCAATTGAGCGCATAACTAGATGAGGCATAGATACCAGCTACGAAGTACGTGGGGGGGGGGGGCAATGTACTTTTGGATACCCAAAAAACGATAATGGCATTAGAGTTATTACCGATGGCACATGTGAGCTCATTACAAACACATTTGTCATAATCATAATATGATTGGAGGGGGGGTAAGTTAACGGGCCCCGAGATCTTAAGGTTGCAAATTTTCTTCTTGAGCCGATCCAAATCCGAATTGTTTGGCATAATGAACATTGACATTACATTTTCCATGGCATCTTGAAACCTTGCGAGATTAAAAGAGGAATTGTAATACAGATATTACAATTCGCATATGATCCAAATTAGAGTGTGTTAATATTGACACAGAGTTCAAATTCAGTTGAATTTTCGTGATCTTCGAACATTTTGTACATTGAAAATAATACTTGACCTTGCGTATTTTCAAAATTGTAAAATTGTAAAACGAAAATATAAGTCAATGAGCTTTGGGAACAAAATTGAGTGAAAAATTTGCATCACACATTGTCCTCGGCCATCATACACTATATTTAG